CATTTGGGATGTGGGTATATAGATGAATAAGATTGCTCGGGATATTCTGTATGAAATACACACACACAAAAATCAATCAATAAAATGAGTTATATTTGAGGAAGAAGCATAAAAATTTACTTCATGTTAATTAGTAGATGTGAAAAGCATGATCATTGAAATCTACCAGATGACTTTATATCCATGCTTAGATGCCAAGGATCTCAGAAAGTAACCGACTATGACTAGTAATAATTAGATATATAGGGATAGGAACGCATGTGCATCTTAGTGTCAATTGTATTAAAAATGAATTTTTCTTCAATTTTATGTCTCACAGGGTTTACGCTGAGTTCAATATTGTATAACTGTATTAATTCAACTGTGAACCTAAAAGTTTTATAGCCAATTTTGAAGGAGATGCATCTTAGCTCTGGAAATTGTTATTGAATATGTCAATGCTGCTGTAATGAAATGCTTCTTCTAATTATATGGTTATTAAATAAATAATTAAAAAATTCATACACATAAAAATAAATAAAAAAACTTTAAAAGAATATTACCACACTCAATAATCTGCTGAGTCCCAGCAAAATGAACACACTTTAGAACGGCCACCCACCCTGGAGCAACTTAAAGATGGGGGAACACAATGGGAAGGGGGAGACTAGAAAAGAGCATCTCAAAATGATGAGAGAACCTTGGGCATAAGGTATGAACAACAGTAAGCTGGTGGAGCATACGGAACTTGTCAAGACTTGACTGGTGATCTGAGGAACTTCAGTGTTTCGGTGTTTAGGGAAGATGGGTGACAGTAGATTAGAGTCAGGGATGATAAAGGTCAAAGTCTTCAGTTTGAGATGCACCGATCTTGGGGGACAGATGACTTAGAAGGCAGAGCTGAATAAATGCACTAGGAACAGTTATGACCTCACTAAAACAGCAAATGTGTGTTTAAGAAGGCAGCTATCTGTGGGGTATGGTGGCGCATGCCTTTAATCCCAGCACTTGGGAGGCAGAGGCAGGTAGATCTCTGTGAGTTCAAGGCCAGCCTTGTCTACATAGTGAGTTTCAGGCCAGCTGAGGCTACAGGGAGACCCTGTCTCAAAAAGACCAAAAAAAAAGAAAAAGAAAAAGAAGGCAGCTATCTGGGGCTGATGACACAGCTGGTAGGAGAGCGCACACATAGCATATATGCAGTTCTGGGTTCAATCTCAAGTATCACACACACAAAAGGAGGTAAATATTTGCAAGATATATTAAAAATACTAAACTAAATGCAAACATACACAGAACTCTAAAATTTTTAAACTGAAAACAAGAGGGGAAAATAATAGGGGATTCAATATTTCTTTTTTATTTTCTTTTTCTTGGTCTTTTTGAGACAGGGTCTCCCTGTAGCCCCAACTGGCCTGGAACTGTATACTTAGACCAGGGTGGCCTTGAACTCACAGAGATCCGCCTGCCTCTGCCTCCTGAGTTCTGGGATTAAAGGCATGTGCCACCATGCCTAGCGGGATTCAGTTTTTCAGTTATATATGTCAATGTTTTATAATTTAATTATTTAATTCTAAAATATGCTCATGTGCATATTTTAGATTTTTTTTTAAGTTTTGATAAAAAGATTTAATTTGCAAACAATTTAAGGTGCTACAAGATAATTTTTGAGCTGTAAATTGTTAAATTTTGCAGGGTGTAGTGGCATACCCCTTTAATCCCGGCACTTGGGAGGCAGAAGCAGGAGAAATACAAGGATCTCTTGTGAATTTGAGGCCAGCTTGGTCTACATAGTGAATTCCAGACCAGCTGGGGCTACAGGGAGACCCTGTCTCGAAAAGAGCAACAATAACAACAACAACAACAACAACAACACAAATTTGCTAAAATTTAAACTGTAAACCAGGTTTCCCAGAGTACATTTGTGGTCCCAGTGACTTGGGAGTCTGAAGCCATAGAATCACTCGAGGCAAGGAGTGTGGGGTCAGTCTGGACAGTATGAGACCCTTGTATTTTTATTTTTTAAAGAGGCTTTAAACTATAATGTGTAAATGATTATAGAATTGGGCACTTTAAAGTAATATAAAACATTATTTTTAAATCTACATGATTTTCTTATTACCCTATAACTCACAGACTAATTTCTATTATCCTATTGACACCATATGGAATGGCAGTTCATACTTAGAGAAAGGATCTGGTATATTTGAAAAAAACAACCAGCATTATTATTCAAGTTGAAGATCTGTAAGTCTTCAAATACATTTTAAAAATTTGTCGAGCTGGACCAATAGTCACATGAAAAGAATCCAAGAGAAAAAACACCATCAAAAGCAGGGTTTGGGTCTGGAGATGGCTCAGCAGTTAAAAGCACTGGCTACTCCTGCAGAAGACCAAAGTTCAGTTCCCAGCACCCCATGGTGGCTAACAATTGCCTGTACCTCCAGTTCCAGGAGATCCAACATCCTTATCTGGCCTCTGTGGGCTTCACATGACATGGTTGCACTTACATACACACAGGCAAAACACTCATACACATAAAAATAAATTTTAAAAAATGTTTTTAATCTATTTACAGCTCATGGTAGCTCAGTGGTAGAATGACAGCATGGTATGCATGAGACCCTGATCAGACCACCACTACCACCAATGAGAACACATTTAAATAACTAGAAATTTCAAACAATTTCAACTCCTTTAAAGAAAGCTGTTATCAACATTACATCCAATCAGACAAATTGTTTTAGATACACCAAGTACTAAGTCAGAAACCACGAGAACAAGAATCATATAGTAAATCAGGTAAGGCATAAAAGAAATTGCACTTTGCAGTATCTATGACCACAGATTTTTAACTATACGACATCATTTTATTCAATTAAGGAGGATTACATCTTTTATTCATTAAAATTATTATTAAATTACTAAAATTAAAAGAATCTAATACCATTTTTCAAATTATACTTACTGTTGTCCTTTAACTCCGATATTTTGTTGTGCTTTTCTAATCGTGTGAATGCCTGACTCTACATCTCATGTACTCAGTCTTGGGATTTACCTTGCCCTTCTTGAGTCATCTTCTTCCCTAGCTCTGTATCACGTAAGTGTGCTCTTTTGGTGGCTCTCTATTTCTTTCCTTCCATAACAGCATATCTAAGCATTGATTATTCCCAGCAACTTCTCTGACTCTCAGACCTGAACACGCAGCTCTCCTATTACTAACTTGTTTTCTAATATGATCTTATTGCCTTGTGTCTTCTAGGACTTTGTCATAACTGTGACAACTGTAAAGATGGTATGGGAAAAGAACACAAAAAAAAACGGTTAAAAAAACGACAACAGAAATCAAACACCTTACCCTTGGGTCAGGTGACAGGAAAGAAGGAGGAGCAGAGCCCTGGCCTCTGACTGATGTTTGAGGAACTGTCTCAACTACATCTTCATTTTCATTGTTGGAATCACCGCTGTCAAACGTGATTCTATTTTCCAGTTTCCCAAAATCATAATTTGCTTCTATGACAATTTAAAAGAGAAAAAAATACAAGAAAATATTTGTAATTTTACATCAATGTAATGTAATAAGCAATGCACAACAATAGGCAATCCTCAAATGACTTACGATTTTTCTTGGATTGCTGAGCAGCAGTCCACAGCTCTGTGAAGTTTACTTTGGGGACATTCTAGAAAAACAAATAATAGTTTTAAGAATAACAAGTACTAGCTGTGCATGGTGGCACACGCCTTTAATCCTAACACTCAGAGGGAGAGGCGGGCAGAGATCTCCATGAGTTCAATGCCAGGCTGGTTTACATCCACATCCACCAAGGCTACATACAGTGAGACCCTGTTGCAAAAAAACAAAATAAGTGGTAGATTTGATAAAGTGATGACGCTCACTCTTACTACAAGAATTGACGCAGAGCACATGTTTCTGAACCCTTCAGATATAGATTCCAACATCAGTTCTGCCATTTATCAACCTACATACCCTTCTAACATGAGGATTATGAGATAATAGAGATATTATCAAAATGTTAGTCTCCTTACATCTAATGATTATTGTAAAAATATTAATTGTTTAAATGAAAATAACCTTGAAAAAAATTTATCCTACAATTTATAGTGCTTCTGAAAATAAGCATTTCAAGAAATTTCAATGAATCACTTAATACACTCTGAGTGAACTTCCATGACTTATATTTGCATGGATTACCTGGAGAGGAGGACTAGGAGAGATTATTTTTAAGCAGCAAATGTGTTGGAATTGCAAACAGTGTAAGTTATCTACTCTGTGTACCAAAAAGCAAAACACAAATGATTACTTAAATTTAGTTCTTTTTAAGAAAGAGAGGAAAAAAGAATAAATCTTATGGGGCAAAGACTGACAAAAGAAAGCCACAGAGAGTCACTAAAAAGAAAAATGGAATTATTATGTCAGTGATGGAGAGGGTGCAAGACAGAAGAGACCCTGGAGAAACTTGCCCTGAAAGGAGACATGTAGGGTAGGAATGGAGAGAGGAAAAGAGGGACAGGGAGGGAGGGAAAGAGAGCAGGAGGGAGTGAAAGGGGGGAGGAAAAGAGAGGGAGGGAGAACCTTGAATGTTTTAGAGGAGGAAAACATTTAAGCACAAAGTTTGTAAAAAAGTGTGAGTGCCTTTGTTCGTAGTACATTCCTAATAATGATTTGTATTACATTATATTTTTGTAGATTACTATAATGAAAGGTTTATTAAAATAAGTAATGCTTAATCAATTAATCATGGTTATCTACCTGAGAGATGTGACACAACTGTTAGAGAAAGAAGACACTGGAAAAAGTCATGTTCCATTTTTCCACTTGAAGAAAGAATTGTTAATCAGAATTCTTTAGCTAATATATAGCTTCAAAAGATAATGTTATTTAATACAAGAAGTGGGTCTCAAAATAAGTTTAAGAAATTTTAATCTAAAAATCACAGTCTAACGCAGTTTCAAGACATTAGACTGGAGCCTTCTTCACTATTCACGATACTTCTTTGTTGCATTTTTATAAGCAGTATTTCCTCAGCACAACTCAACTGAATTTACATTCTAAACATTATCAGGGAACATAAATGCAACCCATGCTTTTAGAAATTCAGTAGACTTTAATGCTGGGTACATCATGTACATTACTGTAATATTCAACCTACACAGAAATCCTCTTGCCTGTTTACATTCAATATTAAAAATGCCTCTTATGACTCCCAGAGACTAACCCAGCACAGAAATGGGAAAATGAACAGCAGACCCCAATCGTACCTAAAAGAATGTTGGCAACTGATTGCTGCTAGATGAGGAAGAGCTTATCTTCCTAAAACAAGGAACTCTAGACAGGCTGACTAGATGCAGGAGATGAACTAGCATTGGGTAACGATTAGGGGCACTGATAACACAGTGGACAGTAACAGGAACAACAGAGTATATGGGCTTCAGTGGGTTGCGGGGAGGCTATGAGAGGGTGCCATTTAGGATGTGGATATAAAGATGAATAAGATAGTTTGGGATGTTCTGTATGAAGTACACACACACAAACACAAATCAATAAATAAAAAAATGAAAAAAAGTCCCAGAGTCTTTAAAAAATCAAAACACATAAAAGTGCATAGACTCCTTTAAAAGTTTCTTAACTCTGGGCTCCTGTAAAATCCAAAAAAGTACTGTCTATTTCAAAAGGGAAGAATTGATGGCAGCTACGAACTGTCCTTAACTCCAGTTCCAGGGGAATCTGACGCCCTCTTCTGACCTCCGTGGCATTGCATGACATGGGTGCACTCACATACATGCAGGCAATACACTCATACACACAAAATAAAAATAATAAAATATATTTTAAAAAATGCCTCTTACATTTAAATCTTTGTTCTACATGCTCCAAGACACACAAATGCTTTCTAAACTACACTAGCTCAAGGATGCAAGAGCTCTAAAATGAATATTTATATAACTAAGTACGAATACACCAAAATTTTCAAACAAATGTGATACAAGGACTAGACATGGGTAGCTTAAAAACTACAATGCAGCCGGGTGTGGTGGCGCACACCTTTAATTCCAGTACTCAGGAGGCAGAGGCAGGCGGATCTCTGTGAGTTCAAGGCCAGCCTGGTCTCCATAGTGAATCCAGGCCAGATGGGGCTACAGGGAGAACCTGTCTCAAAAACAAACAAACAAACAAAAAAGCCAAAAAAAAAAAAAAAACCCACTACAACGCAAAAATTTCTGAAATTACTTTCATTATATGGTTGAAGAGTTTATGGTTTTAGAGCTGGCTATTACTTGGGGCAAAACATGTACTCTGATTAAATGAAGAGCTGTTACACTCTCAATGGAATGACCTGGAAAACAGTGCAATCCCTATCAATATAGAATGTGATAAACAGATTTAAAATTGTCTGTTTCTACAATTGCTAATATTATGGTAATTTACATATAGAACCAAGTATAAAAACAGAACCTAAAAACTATACCATACTAATAGATGTCCAAGAAAAAAATCAAAACCAAAACCAAAACTGAATATTGTATGTTGTACAGTTTTGAAATTAAATGCACTATGGAATCCCTATGATTTATTATACTAACTGGGCTCATTAAAGATTAATTTAGGTGCATTAGAAAAGTCATATTCGTAAGTGAAAATGATAGTAAGGTATATTTACCAAAGCAGTTCTTGATCAAATTTCCTATTTTCTCTAGTACAGTAAAGCTCTCCTTGATATAATTTTCCTTTATGTATTTTCCAGCCCATTCTTTTTCAGCCTCTACTACCACCTAGAGAATAAGCAGTCTTTCATATTCATCAAATTATAAAACAATACTCAACTAGTCATAGTTCTATAAAATGGTATTCTCTGACCGATATTCCTCATAAAACAAAACACTACACAAAACAAAGTTCAAAGCAAAAAAATTATTTTGATAAAATAGCACTCTACCTTGTTATCAAAATTATAGTCATCCTCATCTGATGTAGGCCAGGAATCATCAGGGCCAGGTGTGTTAGAACGCCTTTTAACAAAAACAATAAGTTCAATTCTTAAAAGGCATCTAAAGACAGGTCAATTATATTTATCAATATAATAAATGTTTCTTCACTGACATGATTAAAATGTGACCTCTTTTAAAAACTTTTTAGTTCCCTCTTTCTGCTCCTACTTCTCTCACTCTTAACTACTTGTAGCCTTGCTTTTAGTTCCATATCAAGGCACGAAAGCCAATGTATCAGCCTGTTCTAAAAGCTGAACTGAGAATCTAATAAATGTCTGGCATAACTTGTTTCAAGAACTGAACCAAATCTGACAACCTAAAATAAGGTAGAAAGATACACCGCCTGCTCTGCACCGTGTATCCCTTGTTCAAAGGCTGAGCTGGGTAACTCAAAAATGGCAGCCCTGGTTCTTCAGCAAAGAAATTACATATTAAAAAGACCCTGTGAGCCAGGTCTGGTGGTACATGCCTGCCTGCAATCACAGCGCTCAGAAGGCAAAGGGGGCAGGTCTGCCAAAAGTTCGAGGCTAGTCTGGTTTACATGGTGAGTACTAGACTAGGCAGGGCTGTATAATGGGACCCGGGACCCTACAGCTTCCAGCTACCTTAAATAGTATAGGGGATTTCCGAAATCGTTAAGGAGTTTGAAAGTTAATTTAAGTATATTTAAGTACAAACGTCAAAGAACAAATGCATGTATTGTTATTGGCAATACATTTCCCTGCGATTAAAACTATATTAAATAGAAACTCTAAAAATCCAATTATTTTTCCAAACTTTGTCAAGCCTTACTTACATACCCATAGACTGTCAATCACTTGAAACCCTTCATAGGTACGCAGACACTCAAAAGCATAGACTTCTGGGAAAGCAGAGTTCTAGCAGTTGAACCACTGTTTCCCCCCTCAGCTACCTAAGTATCTTCATTTCTAGAGGCCTGCACTCCTCCCAGACCCCTCAATAGCAGGCTTCAATGGCAGTTTCCAAACTTGAAATGTCAGCTTATAAAAGACACAGACTCCAGAGACAAGTATGGGCTCAAATGACCAACAGAGCAGCTCTCTGTTTCCTGATATTGGGAGGCAAGTTAAATGGAGACTCGATCACTGGTTCTCAGGACAGACCTGTTACCAACTACCCAAATGAAGCTCCATGACAGTTTGCAGCAAATCTATCCTTCCTGACCCTGACCCTACAGGTCAACAGGAAGGAATCGGTGAGCTGGGAAGGGTGTAGCTGAGGGGCACCTGCCCTGCTAAGGTACATGCACATCTAGTCCCTTGGCACTTGAGGAGCTCTAAGCCACTTTCTGTAAAAGGAGGTGGCAGTAAATGTGGTACTGCATTCTTGTCTGCTACAAAGACTCCTCAGTAGCTCAAAATCTTTTAAAAATTTCAGCATAAGTTCTTCCAGTCAAACAAAAAAGAACAATCTGTTCAGGACTCCCTTGAAAACCCTATTTTAATATGCTTTTTAGATAACTTCCAACATATTGTACCCTTAATTCCTGTGTTGTACTGAGCGTATTATAAACTCCAATACAATCGTCTTTTTTTTGTCTTTGAGACAGGGTCTCCCTGCAGTCCCAGGTAAGCTGGAACTCACTACGTAGACCAGGCTGGCCTTGAACTCACAGAGATCTGCCTACCTCTGCCTCCCAAATGCTGGGATTAAAGGTGTGTACCACCACACCTGGCAAACTCTGTAACTTCTATTCCTTTATAAGCCCCAATCCAGTGACGTCCTCTGTAACTTCTATTCCCACATAACCCCATATTGTCCCTCCTTAAATCCTCCTCCTCCTAAATGCATCCATATTCTTTTCAACTGGGCTCATTAAATTCACTCCACCACTCTGTTACCAAACACTCACCTAAAGAATGATAAATAAGGAAGAATATTGAGCTTAGAAGTGAGAAGTTGATTCAAATTTCACTTCAGTGAATTACGACATTCAGGTAAACCAATTTAATTTTGCAGTTTCAAGTTCTCCATCAGAATAATCACTTGGCCAAGATGGTAAACAGACTGAAGTACTAGAGATAGGTTGTTTAGTCTCTTACGTTTCCTTAAAATTCTGAACTTCTAGTGTATTTGATTTTATCTAAAGAATACTCAATTGACAAAAATAACAAAAATGGTGTTCTTAAAAAAATCAATAAAAATTAGTTATAAAAAGTGAATACAAAGTAAGGAAAAATGCTTAAGAAAAATTACGCTGGGAAGATGGTTCTGCAGTCCCAGGGTGAGGACCGGAACTGGGATCTCAGAAATCCACATAACTGCTGGGTGGGTGAGGCGGCCTACCTGTACTTCTAATCTCAAGAGAGATGGGACCCCAGAACAAACTAGCTTGCAAGACAAGCCGTATGGATCCTAGCAAGCTCTGGGTTTATTTTAGAGACCCTGACTAAATGAATAAAGCTGAAGAGCGATCATGGATGATTTCCAGCATCAACCTTGGGCCTCAACATGGAAGTACACCCACTCAAGTGTGTCCACACACATGGGAAAACAAGCATACGGATACACATGTACCACATGCACACATGAAAAATGGGAAAGGAAAAAAAACTGCCAGGGAACTAGGTAGGGTACTTTCCTTAAAAGAGTAGCCTCAGTGGAAAGAGCAGCCCACTGCCTCACTGAGACACCAGTGAGTTGAAAAATCAACATAGAAGTACCTTCTAGGACTGGGATTGGTGGAGGGCTTATGTATGCACAAAGACCTGGAAATGATCCCCACTCTGGCAAAAAACTGTACCAATATGGTAGCACAGACCTATAATCCCACACTTGGGAGGTGGAGGCAGGAAGATCAGAAGTTGAAGGTTATCCTTGACTACATAGCAAATCTGAGGCCAACCTGGGCTATAAAAGACCCTGTTATAAATAAAGTAGACACTACATATAATTAATAAGTTAGTCTACACACAGATATTCTATGTGTCTAGTAAAATAATTCCTCTCTAGGACTTGTCTGACTTTGTAACTTCTATGGTACTATGGCCCTAGCTGAATGAGATCTACCCTTCTTAAAACCCTCGATGGTAAAGGGTACTGATTACCATTGCAATTGTCAAAAATATTAAGACAAACTCTTGAAGTAAAACTGGGTTTCTCAGGAAAACTCTAAATCAAAGTTAACACATAACCGAACTTACTTTCTAAATTGATCTGACCTATATTTTGATCCCAGGACTGTATTGGTCCCCATAGTCTATGTAGAGGGCAAAGGATTACATTTTGGAGCTGCATGAGAGTCAAATCATAGGAATGCTACCTATGAATTATGGGATCATGAGCCAATTAATAAGTCTGAGTGACTGCTACCTAATCTCAAGGAAGGAAGGGAGGGAGGAAACAAAGGAGGGAGGGAGACAAGGAGGGAGAGAAGAAAGGCTGGTTTATTTATAGTAGCACAAATATTTTGCAAAGCTTTGTGACCAGTGTAACAATTATTAATCATATCAACACATTACAGTTATCTAGTCCACTGAAGAACTTGACAAATCTTAGTTTCTTTTCTGTGTATTCCCAAGTTATCATAAATTAAGAATGCTAAAAATAAAAAAAAAGAACACTAGACATCCCTACCTACCTGATTGAAGAGTCATCTTCAGAACTCTTATCCACTATAAAGAAAAACATAAAATACATTTTAAATAATTTTAGAAAAATATAAAACAATGAAGTATTATTAATATCAATGCTTTCTTAGAAGTATTCCTTTAGTAGCATACTAGAGACCATCAGAGGATGAATAGTAATTATACTACTGATAGGTAACTAATATATTAAGAATTCTTCCTTTTCTTCATAGTTATAAGATCTAAAGAACAGAATTCATAAAAATCAGGTATCTAAAAGTCAACTGCTATGTACAATGATCCTAATCCCAATTGAATACTATCACCCGACAGCAGATAGTATAATTAGTTGACGGTCTCAGACAAAAGCGTGGCTTTTCTGCATTGACACTAGAATCACAGGAGTCCACTTATTTTCTTGTGACACAACACAGCTTCTCCAGATATTCGGTGAAAGCTTGCTGGGTTCTGGATGCAGACCCTGGCAGAAATGAGCTCAGTCTGGGCAGCATACTCTACAGTATGGTGACATACAGAGAAAGACCAATGACAAGAATCCTCATGAAGGCTTTCTAGCTGCCAGTGCAGGAGTTCAAGAGAATCAGTGTGTGCATCTTCACTAACCCTTTTCTGGGGAAGATGCTAATAAGCTTCCTTCTTTTTATGTAGTCTTCATTTTCTCTACTTTGTAGGCGGGTAATCATAATGGAGGACAGTGATAATGTATGTTTGGGTGTCACAGGGTAAATGGAGAAAATTTTGTACTTTCCTGTTAATTGTGTCATGAACCTAAAATTTCCCTAAGAACCAAAGTTGTAATGGGGAAGAGGATAGACCAATGGTAGAGTATTTACCTCGCATGTATGAGGCCCTGGGTTCCACTCCCAGTACTAAAACAGAAAAGAGAAGGAAGGAAGAAGAAAAAAGTTATTGAGTGAAAAAAATATATTTACTGAGCTTACTATTAACAAACATTACAGTAAGACATTAAAACTGGAGATAAGGGGGGTGGAGAGATGGCTCAGGGGTTAAGAGCACTGGCTGCTCTTACAGAGGACCGGGGTTCAATTCCCAGCACCCACATGGCAGCTATGAACTGTCCTTAACTCCAGTTCCAGGGGAGTCCGATGCCTTCTTCTGACCTCTGCAGCACTGCACGACACAGGTGCACTCACAAACATGCAAGCAATACACTCATACACATAAAGTAAAAATAATAAATTTTAAAACATATATAAAACTGGAGATAAAGGTCAAAGTATGGGTATTCGCTGATAAACTGAAGAATTAGAAAATATATAGAACTATTTCAATTTTATACCTAGGCAGGAAGCTGATAAAATTATTTAAAAATATTTTATCTACTTCTAGTGACGTTACTTTATAGTGACACAAATATCTGTCATAATATTCCTTTAATAAATGCAATCCAGGGGCTGGAGAAATGGCTCAGTGGTTAAGAGCACTGACTACTCTTGCAGAGGACTTGGATTCAATTCCCAGCACCCACACGTCAGCTACAAACTGTCCTTAACAACTCTAGTTCCAGGGGAATTCAACGCCCTCTTCTGACTTCCAAGATATTGCATGACACAGGTGCAGTCACATACATGTAGGCAATACACTCATGGACCTAAAATAAAAATAATTTAAAAAAAAATTTTTTTAAATGCAATCCATTCACTGCAGTAACAATAAAAATTCATTTTTATAATAAGTGCAATTTGCTGTAAGGTACATATGGAGGAAACGTAACAATAATTGAAAATCTTTTTCTTACAGGATTTCAGAGGTCAAAACTAAATAAATGAATTTTTTTCAAAAACTACTGTTTAAAATATTTTACTCATTATTTTTATGTGTATGAGTGTTTTGCCTACATGCATGTATGTATGTAAGTGCACCCATGTCATGCAATGCCCACAGAGGTCAGAAGAGGGTGTTGGATCCCCTGGGACTAGAGTTACAGATGGTTGTTAGCTGTCACAGTGGGTGCTGGGATTCAAACCAAAGTGCTCTGCAAGAGCAGTCAATGCTCTTAACTGTTGAGCCATCTCTCCAGCCCCAAGTTTTAGACTGTAAATTTCTTTTAACTAATTTCTTAAATAATTCTAAATTCTAGCTAAGAAATTAAGAAAACAGTACAAATGTCACTTGTACATTTTTTAATACTGTTCTTCTGCGATCAAAACTTTCTTAACCTTATACTGTTACCTAGGGTAGGACCATCAAGAGTGATTCTTTATCATAAATCTTACCTGGACTGCTAGTTTCAGAGTTTTTTGGTCTCTCTTCATCACATTCAAAAAGTGTCTGCCTGTTGCTACGTACAAAAAAAGCAATAGAGAATTATTATTTAAATCCTTATATAATTACCATATATAACAACATTTCAAACAATACCAAATCATATCAGGACTTCATCCCATACAATTCAAATGTGTAAGCTCTTCAAGCTTTTCAGCGTGCTCCTAGCTAAGAAACAACGGAGGGAGAACAGTTCCGACATGAAAGCGGTGGATAACTGGATTGGCCTGACAGAACAGAAAGCGTCCTGAATACGGAAGCCCTTGCTCTGTGACCAGCTGTTTGCTCCTGGACAACTCATTTCTCCTAGGCTGAAAACTTCCTTTTAAAAATTCAGAATTTTAGGGGCTGGAGAGATGGCTCAGTGGTTAAGAGCACTGACTGTTCTTGCAGAGGACCTGGGTTCGATTCCTAGCACCCACATGGCGGCCACGAACCATCCTCAACTCCAGTTCCAGGGGAATCTGAAGCTCTCTTCTGACCTCAATGGCATTGCACAACATGGGTGCACTCACATATATGCAGGCAATACACTCATACACCTAAACTAAAAATAATAAATATTTTTTTAAAAATTAAGAATTTTAGAAGCTTATTTTACTATGTTCTTATGAAGATTCAAGAAGAAAATATAAAAATATGTTCATATAAATAAAATATTGGAATAATCTGTTCTTTGTGCTAAACTCTTTTGGAGTCCCAAGTAACATATGAATTAGCTGTTTTTTACAGGTTCTACTGATGTTACACTTAGCAGAAAATATCAAGTCTTAATATAGATATTAGCTGGTCAATACTTTGTGGCTATTCTGTTTAAGTCAAATCAGCTGCATAATAATTTGAAACCAAATTTGATGGTAAACAATAATCTGTTCTTTGTGCTAAACTCTTTTGGAGTCCCAAGTAACATATGAATTAGCTGTTTTTTACAGGTTCTACTGATGTTACACTTAGCAGAAAATATCAAGTCTTAATATAGATATTAGCTGGTCAATACTTTGTGGCTATTCTGTTTAAGTCAAATCAGCTGCATAATAATTTGAAACCAAATTTGATGGTAAACATTATTATTCCATTAAATTAAGTCCTATTATTGAACTAATCAATCACACTAAGGGTAGAAAAAATAAGCATTAAGACTTAGCTTGTAGCCAGGCATGGTAGTGCACACTTTTAATCCCATACTCAACAGGCAGAGGCAGGTGGATATGTGTGAGATCAAGGCCAACCTGGTCTACATAGCGAGTTCCAGAGCAGCTTGGGGATACAGGGAGATCCTGTCTCAAAAAAAAAAGAAAAGAAAAGAAAAAAAAGAAAGACCTGGCTTGGATGTTATTCCTTCTCTATCTAATCAAGCTCTGAACCTGCAGCTCTTTCTTTAAATGCTTAATCTCTACTTTTATCTCTAACTGACTTGGAAGGCATAGTCCTCTTTTACACATGGAGACTGGTGGACATAAGGACCGGAGTCTCTTAAATGCACTGTAATCTACTTTAGATTTAGATTTCTACTAGAGGACACTGGATATCTTCTATCATGCTCCACCTTACTCCTTTGAAACAGGGGTCTGCTGGTTGTTTTTTGTCAACTTGACAAAAACTAGAATCACCTAGGAAGAAGAACTTCAATAAAGGAATTTCCTACATCAGTCCAGTCTGTGGACATGTCTATGAGGCATTTCTTAATTGCTAATTATGTAGGAGGGCCTAGCCCACTGTGGACCATACCATCTCTGGGCAGGTGGGCCTGGGCTGAGCAAGTCACCGGGAACACACTAGAGTAAGCAGTGTTCCTCCATGGTCTCTGCTAATTCAGTTCCTGCCTCCAGATTTCTGCCTGGAGTTCCTGCCTGACTTCTCTCAGTGATGGATCCTGCCTTGCTAGTGTAAAATGAAATAAAATCAACCCTTTCCTCCCCAAGTTGGTTTTGGTCAGTCTTTTATGACAGCAACAGAAAGCAAACAAGGACAAGGTTCTTTCACTGAACCAGAAGCTAATCTTTTTGGCTAGGCCAGCCAGCCAAAGAGGTCCCAGTATCCACCTGCCTCCCACACTGGAGTCACAGGCACACACAGCCATGCTTGGCTTTTAAACATGGGTGCTGGAGATTCCAGCTCATGTCCTTCTAATTGCACAGCAAACACTCCTACCCTCTGAGTTATCTCTCCAGCAGAAACAATCTTATAAATCACCCTCAAGGATATATTATCCTCCTTTTCATATGAGAAGCTTATTTTGTGATAAGTAATGTTTGTGAGATCATATACCCAAGCAAGAGGGAAAAGCTAAGACTTAAACCCAGTAACAAGTGAACCTAAAACTACTTCATTTCCTATTATTACAAACTAATGGCTTATTTTCATTAAAAGAAAAGACAGTCCATTTAAGGTATCTTTTTCCTTCTGGCCAAGCCAATTAAAAAAAATAAACATCAAAATATATTAGAACATTTGAAATGAACAGAATAGAACATTACATACAGTAATGATTATTAGCGTCTGAAGGATAACCTCAACATTCTTCAAAGAAAATAATTTAAAACAAAGAGACATTAAAAAGACAAAATGATCTGCAATTCCTACTTATACTTAATACAGCATTTTGAAAGGAAAAGTATAGATGCAGAAGTTTAAATTTAACAAAAAAGGTTCAAAAAGCAAACAAAAAAAAAAATCAAAATACATTAGAACATTTGAAATGAACAGAACAGAACATTACATACGGTAATGATTATTAGCGTCTGAAGGATAATCTCAACATTCTTCAAAGAAAATAATTTAAAACAAAGAGACATTAAAAAGACAAAATGATCTGCAATTCTTACCTATACTTAATACAGCATTTTAAAAGGAAAAGTATAGATGCAGAAGTTTAAATTCAACAAAAAAGGTTCAAAAAGCAAACGAGAAGTTTAGAGAACTAATGAGAAGCTGGTACAACTACAAGATCACAGGACCAACACAATCAGATTATGAACACCAGTCGTTACTAAGAAGGACCATAAGGCGACCACAGGCTGTGTTGCCTGGTGTGAAAACTGTTTTTCTACCGAACTAATGTAATGTGTTGGTATCCTTCAATATATCTCAATAATTGGTAATCTTCCTATTAATTTATATTTCTATTAAGTGGTTAACACTCTAAAATACCATTTAATTAATTAATTTAATTAACATTGGCACATGTACATGTGCATGTACATGTGTGCATATGTCTCATATTAAATGCATGTGTGTTGGTACGCACACTTTGTACACACATTTGAAGGCCAGGAGGAGGGCCTTGGTTATCTCCTCTACCACTCTCCCCTACCTTTTGTTTTTGAGACAGGGCCTCACTGAACCTGAAGTTTGCAGTTTCAGCTAGAATGGGTGGTCAGTAAGCGCCCAGGATCTGCTTGTCTCTGGGCCCTAATACTTGGACCACAAGCATACACAGTCATAACTGGCTTGGAAATGAGCACTGGAGATTTGAACTGACAGCAAGCACTCTAAACCACTAAATGTTTCTTCCACCCTTATATTTTTTAAAGGAACAATCTACTGTACCTTCCAAGCTCATCAACTGCATGAATACTTGCTTTCTTCTTTACTAAAAATTCCACAATCTCTTGTTTATTTTCCTTTACACCAAGTAACAGTGGTGTGAGGTCATCCTATAAGACAGTAAGATCAATTTATAATTCACAAAACTCCATGCTTCTCAACTGAACTGAAAACCTTTAAATGCCTATAGTCTATGAATGTAAACACAGACTATAGAAAGTAAATGAATAGTTGTTTCTTCCATCTCACACAGCTGCACTTTCACAAGTGCTGTTCCTTCCCTTTAAAATGCCCATCCACTGCTCAGATGGTTACTAGAACTCCAGTGTTCTCAAAACTTAGGGTCAGGCACCTCAGGAATCTATACATCATGGCATATATTACAGAACTTACCATGGTATTTCAGAGTTATGTGATTACAACCCATCTAAATTAAGCATTTCTTTAAAAAATTTTTTATTTTATATGTACAAGTATATTTAAGTGCACTTGTGCCATGCAATGCCCATGCAGGCCAGAAGAGGGCATTGGATTCCCTGGAACTGAAGTCATGGATGATTGTTAGCCACCATGCGGGTGCTGGGAACAGAACCCAGGTCCTCTTTGAAAGCAGCCAGTGCTCTTAACTACTGAGTCATCTTTCCAGCCCCTAAATCAAGCATTTCTTGAAGGCAGGAGCTGTATCTTTTGTTACAATAGCTCTAATAACAGTTGCTAAAGGTTTTTAAGTATTTTATTAAATTAATATGCTAAATCATCTCTAGAGCAGAGTTTCTTAACAGAAATATCAAAAAGTATTTACTTTTCCAGAAGTTAAACATTAACCAAAGCTTCTATGATCATATTCATTTATTAATTTTTACAAACTTTATCTTTATTTGAAATTACCTTTTGTGGCAAATACTAAAATTTAAGGAATATGTTTCGGCAATGCAGATTTGAAAGTTTTACAATAATATGGACCATTTTATCTAGGGTATACAAAGTTTCATCTAAGGTATACAAATTATTTGATTCTCTTCCATTTATGATGCCAGGACACCAGAATCCAATGTCAGACACTCTTGCTTCAAGTGAGGCACTGTGAAAATAGGCTCTGAATTAAAAGATGCAGGCTTTAGATGGGCTTTCAGTGCTTGTTAATAAATGTCCCATTGAGGGCTGAAGAAATGGCTTAGCAGTTAAGAGCACTGGCTGCTTTCGAAGAGGACCTGGGTTCAATTCCCAGCACCCCCAAGATAGACTTGTAACTTTGAAACTGCCAGGAAAAATGGAGATAAAAACACTTCAAGATATAGGCATAGTCTAGGGCTTTCTGAAAAGGATTCTCTTAGTAGCACAGGAAAGAATTCCAAGAACTGACAAATAGGATTACATGAAATTACGAAGCTTCTCACAGCAAAGGAAACAATCGCATAGTGAAGAGATGGCCTACTGAATGGGAAAAAAAATCTTTGCCAACTACACATCAGTCAGGGGATTTACATCAAGACCTAAAGAACTATAAAGGCTGAGCGTGTGTGTACACACACAAACACACACACGCATGTACACCCCCCAAAACAACAAAATAATGCTTCCAACCAATAAATGGGCTAATGACCTGAGAAGACTGTTCTTGAAATAGTACAAATATCCAGTAAGTATTTGAAAAAGTGCCCAACATCCTTAGCCATCAGGTAAATGCAAATGAAAACTGTTTTGAGATTCCATCTCACCTCTAGTCAGAACCACCATCGTCCCCCCAAACAAACAATAAATGCTGGTGGGGATGTGAGAAAGCTGAAGCTCTTTCCTCCCTGGTACGGGGAAGGAAGAACCTTTACCTTTACACATAGTTGGTAGGATATAAATTGTACTTCCATATGGGTATCAGTATAGCAGTTTCTCAAAAAACTAGACTACCTTGTACAATCCAGCTATGGCATTCTTGGATATGTACCTGAAAGTCAATATACCCTGCACATACCTGTACTTCCACATTTATTTATTCACAACAGCTAGAATTGGAGCCATCTCTAGCAAAAGATGAATGGATAAAGAAAATGTGGTATATAAACAGGAATTTCATTTAGACATAAAGAAAAAGGCAGTCAAAATCTGGCAGGAAATTAGATGGAAAATGGATCAATATGTTAAGCAAAACAAGCCAGACTCACACAAACATATCTTCTCTCATATAGAGAACTTGGGTTTAAAATTATACAGTGGGGCTGGAGAGATGGCTCAGTGGTTAAGAACACTGGCTGTTCTTGCAGAAGACTGGGTTCAAATGCCAGCACCCACATGGCAGCTAACAACTGTCTGTAACTACAGTTCCAGGGGATCTGACAGCCTGTTCTGTCCTCCACAGGCATAGCACGACTCGGGTGCACTACATGAAGGCAATACATGCATACACATAAAATAAAATTAAAAAAAAATTATACAGTATCTTTGTGCATATGTGTGTGTGGGGGGATATTTGAGTATATGGGGAGGGGGGTGTAGGTCCTGGAACTAGAAAGCAAGTCATGAGATCTTAAGTGGGGGAAAGATGAGGTAACGGAATACATGTGACATGAAGGCAGAAGGCAAGGGCTATTTGGGGGAAACAAAGCAAACACCTAGACCAGGGCCTGGGGTACTGGAAGGGCAACTGGAGAAGGGAGACAAGACAAATAAGAACAACACACAATGGCTCATATGTACAGACACATTTCTTTGTAAGCAAACTTAAAATATCTAAAGAAAACAAAACAAAAAAACCCAAAATGATGAAAAAAAATTTTTTTACTGCAATGGGGCCAGTGAGATGGCTCAGTGGGTAACCTGCTGACAACAGGAGTTTAATCCCTGGGACCCACATGGTGGACAGAGAGAAGCAACTCCCCAGAGTTATCTTCCAACCTCCATGCACCAGCTGCGGCATACACGTGTGCCTCTCAACCCCCACAACAAATAAACAAATGTAATTTTAAAAACTTTAAGGCAGGGGTTGGAGAGATGGCTCAGCGGTTAAGAGCACTGACTACTCTTGCAGAGGACCCAAGGTCAATTCCCAGCACCCACATGGCGGCTACGAACCATCCTTAACTCCAGTTCCAGGGGAATCTGAAGCCCTCTTCTGACCTCCGCAGCACTGCACAACATGGGTGCACTTACATACAAGCAGGTAATACACTCACACACATGAAATAAAAATATTAAAAAAAAAACCTTTAAGGCAAGGGTTCATCAATGAATTTCTAACATTGATGTACATGGATTATTTTGAACACAATGAAAGTTATCTTTAAAGAACAATTATATTCAAACTAAGATCCCATCAATGGATGGAAACGTCATGTGCAGAGGCCTCAGGATCTAGCCATTTCTGGAACTATCCACACAAATGATACCACAGAGTGCTTCACTAATCACCTTGTTTTTCATCTCCGTGTCTGCACTGTGTAAAAGCAGTCTGGCTGCTATGGATATGCTCTCACCACGCACAGCATAGTGGAGCGCTGTGTTGCCGCTGGCATCCATCACGTTCGGATCGGCCCCGTGTTCCAGCAGTATGGCTGCACACTCCTCTTCTTGGCACTGCACAGCCTGTTGTTATTACATCAAGAAACAGATGACCAGTTTAGGAATTCAAAATAAAAATTCTGCAGGCTTTGTTCATTGATATATTTAAATGAAATAAATGTTTCTCACCCTAAGTATTTAAACTGAAACCATCTCATGCTAAGTTGCTGGTTACCTCATACCTTAATGAGAGCTGTGCTGTTCTCACTGTCGCGGGCATCTATGTCGCATTTTCGCTCTACTAAGAGAGTCACCACTTCTGGATGGCCATAGGCACAGGCAAAATGTAGAGCAGTCCTGTGAAAGTGAGAGTGCTTTTTAGCAAATTACAGAACATCACCTAAATACATATTTCATGAAATGTAAACATTAAATAGCATGCAACGTCTCTTCTTCCAAACAAGGATTTTTCTTCTGACAACAGTATATTCAGGAAAGTACAAGCCATTTGGTTTTTCTGTCTGGTGCTGCAGATGTAGCCCTGAGACTCACAGGCTGAGCAACACTCTATTACTACATTCCTAGCCCACAGCCTCCAATTTGAACAAAGCATGGGCTTTGGATTTAGCTTTTGAATTGGGTATGAAACCTATTTTAAGATCTGTTACTAATTAGCTATCACCTAGCCTTTCTCTGCCTCAATTTTCTCACCCATAAAATGGTTAAAGGCACTTGCCACGAAAGTCTAACCACTTGAACTCGGTCCCTAGATCCCACAGTGAAAGGACAAAGCTGACTTCAAAACCTTGTCCTCTGATTTCCATATGTATGCCAGTGTGCATGCACCCTCACTCACACATTCATGTGCACATGTACAGACACACACACACACATGCCATACACACACAATAACAATGAATTAAATAAAAATTTAAAGATAATAGTCATCTCAAAGGATACCACTGTGATGCTTAACTGAGAATCTACACAAAATCTTTAACATACTTTCCAATGTAAATAGTACAATTGCTGACTACTGTTGGTAACTATTTCTATTATTTAACAAAGACAACACAAACTGAACGGCTGGAGGTGGAGACAGTGAGCAAGTCCAGGCTCCAATCCCAGCAAAAAAGCAGGGTGCAAAATCAACATTTAAAAAAAGTTGCCAACTTTTCTTTAATCCCCACAAACTTGTTGAAAAAGAAATCAGGAAAACAATTCCATTGACAACAGCCTCAAAACAAACAAAAACAACAAAACAAACTCATGAAGAAACCCAATGGAGAGAACATTCTCTACAACGAAAAATTTAATACATTAAAGAAAAAAAAGAATGGAAGAGAGAAACAGCTTCCCATGTTATGGATTAGCAGTATTGATATTGCAGAATATTATGAAAATATATTTCTAAAACAGAACTACAGATTTAATGTATGGCCCATCAAAATTCCATGACATTCTTTTTTTAATATTTTATTTATTATTTTTATTTTATGTGTATGAGTGTATTGCCTGCATGTATGTGAGTGCACCCATGTTGTGCAACG